ATTAATGATAATACTCCCAAAATTATTGTATATTTAATACAAAACCATTCAAAACAACAACAGGCTTTTGCATAGAACTATACAAAATTATAATGAAAATTATATGGAAAAACAAGCAGGCAAGAATTTTAAGGGTTATTGTAAAGAAAGTTGATGAAGGTGATCTTACGGTCCCTAACTTTGAAACATATTAGAAAATGGTAATCATCACAGCTCTCTGGTACTGATAAAAAAAATAGAGAAACAGATAAATAAAAGAGACCAGACACACCAGCCTACCAAGCAAATGTAAACAAGAGATTAGTATTTGACAAACTTCAATATTTATTAATTAACTGATTACTGTCCATTGACCAGAAGTTTCACAGATTTAAAAAAAAAAGCTGTAGTGGAAACTAATGCATGAGTTTCTTGGGAAATTATGTCAAATTTTGACTACTAAAGTTAGATTTTTTTTTTTGGCTAGGAAATGGGGTTAAGTGACTTGCCCAGGGTCACACAGCTAGCAAGTGTCAAATGTCTGAGGCTGGATTTGAATTCAGGTCTTCCTAACTCCAGGGCTAGTGCTCTATCCATGGTGCCACCTAGCTTCCCCTAAAGTTAGATACTTCTGAGCAAGTTAACTGAGATTATCTTCTGGGTAAGGTATTTGAAAATATTTGCAGCGTTTAATAATTCTGTGCTATGGTACTTAATATTCTATACATTATCCCAAAGACCTCTTATTTATTAGATTGTGATATTTCAACTGATTTTTGTCTATTGCTAAAAGACTCATCTTTGCTTTTTGTTGCCATTAGCTGAAATGCTAAACTGTGATTTCAAATAAGAAAATAAAACATAACACAATTTTTAGACCCAGATATAAAGTGATCTGTTCACATTCTCCAGGTATCATAATTTTAACTCTCTTCTAGGAAACTTGAAAATGTAGAGTTCTTTTTTTGTGTGATTAAAATGCTTCACTTCACATTCACTTCATGACTGACTTAGAAGAATTTTTTAAAAGTTTATCCTCCTGGCTTCTATTTCTGCTTCAATTTCCATAATACTATATCCCTATGGTTTCATTCCTATCTCTCTGACTATACTTTTTTGGTCTTTAATGATACCTCATCTTCTTCCCATCCATTAAATATGGGTGTTTCTAAGAGTTCTATCCTTGTCTTTCTTACCTTTTTCTCCTTTCATGATCTGCTCCAATCCTGTCACTTTAATTATGAGCACTGTGTTAATGACTTCCAAATCTTTGTCTCCACTCCAATCTCTCTGCAGAACTCTGGACCGATATTTCCAACTGCCTGTGTAGATATTGTAAAGACCTGGCAGGTCTATAAGCCTGTATGTAATATATAAGTAACTGAAATCTTTATCTTGTCCCTAAACATATATTCTTGATACCTTTCTTCTTACCTTCTGTATAGTATCATGATCTTTCCAGTTGGCCAGGTTTATGGCGTTGGAGTCATCTTTGATTGCTAACTCTCACTGTCATTCCTCCTCTACCCCTCCCCACCCCCACCCCCAACATACACATATGCAGTCAATTACAAAATGAGGTTGATTTTTACCTCGGGATATTTCTTGTCCTGTTCCCTCCTCTCTACTATTGAAACCTCTCCAAGTCAGTATTTTATTTCTTTTTATTTAGACTATGTTGATAGCCTCCTAACCAGTCACCCTTATAATACTCACCACTAGAGACCTCCTTCCAAGTTGACATCCAACCATTAGTGAAAAGTAGAAGAGAAGACTTGGGGAAGTAAGGTCAAATTATTTTCAAGCATTTGAAGGACTGCCACTCAGAAAAGGGATTGGGTTGTCCTGTTGTCCTGTTGGTTGTCCTGTTGTCCGGCTGTCCTGTTTCACAAAAGAAACAACTACGAGCAATGGGTAAAAATTTTGTACACAAATTTAGATTTTATGTAATACATAATTATGTAACAATTAATCTATCTAAAAGTTGAATAGCCTGACTCATAAGATAGTAGGGGTCCCTCCTTCGTATGAGGTCTTTTTTTTTTTCGGTGAGGCAATTAAGGTTAAGTGACTTGACCAGGGTCACACAGACAGTAAGTGTCAATTGTCTGAGGCTAGACTTGAACTTGGTCTTCCTGACTCCAGGGCCAGTAGCTGCCCTCACATGAAGTCTTTTTTTTTTTAAATTTAATTTAATTTTTTGTTCCATTTTAAGTTCCAAACTGTCTCCCTCCCCACTCCAAATTGAGAAGGCCACCATGTAACACAGATATATATCTATATATGTACAACCATATTATCCATACTTCTATTTATCAGTTCTGCCTCTGGAGGTGAACATGAAGTCTTTTAAAAAAAATCAACTTAGATGTCTACTTATGTGATATGTTGTAGAGGGAACCATTTTTTTAAAGGTATAGTTTGAGTTAGATGACCTCTGAGCTCTCTTTTAACTCTGAACCTAAGAGTCTTAGTGAATTAAGTAGCTCTAAACCTATGTATCACCTACCCTCTCTCTCTTCATTTCATCTTCAATTATAGCAAGAGAAATTTTGCCAAATGTTTGCTAAAATCTAGGCATGAGATGTACAGAATTCTGCTGATTTTTATTTAAAGAAATGAGGATATGCCAAGAGATGAAAATGGATAGATCTATCACAGGTCTATCACTAGAGTAATTACCTTGGATAATAAGATAGGCAGAGAAAGTAAACAAATAGAACCATGCCACCTTTTCCCTACCAACAACACTAAAAAGTCATAGTATAAACATCATTTGCTATTTATGATCCACTTTTTCCCCAGCCTGAGTACAAGTGGCAATTAGGAGAGTTATGATTCTGGTACCTTTTTTAGCATTACTTTTAAGAGATTGAGTATGCTGGAATCATGTGAAAATAGAGTTGTAAATTCTCTGTCATGATGTGTGGTAAGCAGTAATGTGACATCCTAAAAACCGTGGGAAATGTTTCTGTTTTAGTTTTCTTAAGGCTTCATTTACCTCCAAAAAGTCAGAATGCCCTTTGTGCAAAGAAGACTCAAAAATATTTTTCAGTTTTAACAGGAGGATTTGGCATGAGAGAATAATCATGGAACAGTAGAAGTACAATAGAGACCTCATTAGATGGTTTGTTACTACATAAATTTGCAATTGCTACCGGAAGACAAAGAAACATTACCTTTTTGTTTCTCACTTCCCAAGGAGCAGGGGAACGTTGGATTGCATATATATTATAGATATAAAATATTTGTATGTACTTATGTGTGTGTGTATTACCTATATGCATATACATTTTTTTAAACTTGACCCATTATTTAATCAGTGTAGAAAGCCACCAGGTGGGAGACTCCGTCCATCAAAGTAGATTGGCAACAGCTCAGTAATTTATCGAGAAATGCGGGAGCATCGAGAGTTTAAGTGACTTTCCCTGAGACACACACCCAGTTCCTGTTAGAAGTTAATCTTGAATCCAGGTCTTCCTGAGTCTGGAGCAGATTCTCTAGCCTACACTATGCCTATAATTTCAGTTTGACCTTCTACAGTCAAATCATAAAGTGCAGAGTAAAGGGTACTAGAATTTGGACTCAGAGAGAATCTATTCTGCCTCCGTTCTACCAGCACGACTTTGGACAAGTCACAACTTCTATCAGTCCCCGCATACGTAAAATGAAAAGTTTGGTCTGGATGAACTATTTTTTACTGTAAAACACAAATATAACATGTGCAGTTGATGATGCTGGCATTAGTCTCTTTCTGCAACCACAGCTTTGTAGAGGGATTCCCTTGCATGTGTTAAGAGAAAATATGAACTTTTCCTGGAGATTTTTCTGCAAAGGGTTAATTGCAAACTCGCCGCGGAGTGAGCTCATTACCTTGAGAGGTGACTTCTTTGGATGCTGGAGTTTAGGATGGCTTCGCTGCCTGACCGTGACCTGGACAATTTTAATGCTAGATCTGGTAGTGCTTCCTTTATCTGTGGGGGCATTAATACAATAAGGTATAGAAAACCGCCTAAGGACTCAGCTGTGGTTTGGTTGGATAGAGTATAGGCTTCTATTCTTGACCTAGGCACGACTGAATTTTAATATCCATGAAAAAGAGGGTGATAATTCTGCCTCCTCCCTTATTTTCCCAAGGGTATTCTGGCAATTACAGAGAAAATGTATGTCTGGGAAATTGAGCACCTCAGGCATAAGAGCTCTAGAAATATAATGTGGGTGGAGTTACTATTATGAATAATAATATACTCTGTGTTTGTTTTGATTTTTTTTTTTTTAGATTAAGAACTTGCCTTTCTCCACCCTACCTCAGGTCTGTTGAAATGGAACTCTCCCGCTGAAAAACCTTTCCTTGGTAATTGTAAAATTCTTGACTAGAGCCTAGTCCGTGGTCATTGGTTATCTCACCGGAATTCCCATTTCTAAAGAGTTGAAGGGAGAGTAAAATTCAAGGGCAGCAAAATAAGATGGAGCAGGGCCACCACACCTTTGGCCAAGGTAGCTTGCCTGGCTGATCGCCAAGACTGGAGAGGGGGGAGCCTGCCACTGATCGCTGGGTTTTCCTTGGGGGAAATTTGGAGTTTCATTTTGAGGAGCTGGCCCCTCTCTAGTTGGCTTCCTCTTCTCAGCCCTCCCGCCTTTCCCCATCCTACAAACACACACTCCCCACCCCCCAGTCTCTTTACCGGGGAGGAATTTTCTCCGACTCAGCACAGTGCTTCCCTGCTCGCCAGCATAATTCAAGACATAACTTTGCCTTGATTGCATATGCTGTCGGGAGGAAATTGAAAGATTAACAATCTCTGGGGCTGCTTTCCCTCGCACCCCCTCCCTCCCTTTTTAAAGGGAGGAAGGAACACAAAGGAGGGGGGTCTGCTGCTCTCCCCGGTTTTCACCGCCTCTCTCAGGTCTGGGCACTAGTTAGCCACCCCGCTGCGAGGCAGGCAGAGCCCGACCCACCGCGCTCCAGCTGAACTCGCTCTCCCGCTGTCTGTACGCCAGGGTCCCTGCCTTTCACATGACCTAGCCGCGTCAGGGCCTGGAGGCTCCCCCACCGTACACACACCCCTTCTCCTGCTCTCTCCTCTCCTCTTTCCCCTCCCCCCGCCACTCTTCCTCTGGTTCGAAGTGTGTTTTTGTCTGCACGTGAGCCTTTGCAGGAGGAGGAGAAGGAAAAATCAGAATAGGGACTCCCGGAACGTGTAAAGCCCGTGTCAAGGGTGCTTGGACAGCAGCTGCTCTTGCATCTCCCAGACAGGCTGGGTGTCCTGCCTGCCGGTGCCAGTGCCGGTGCCTTCACGCGAGCTCCTTACCAGGTTGCAAGCTGACGGGGGGGTTTACCTCTCTTCTGACCCGCCCCCCCCAAGCTGTCGGGAATAGAGGTGGCTGTGGTGCACTCTGGATGGCAGCCAGTGTCTGTGTGAGAGACCGTTAGTGGGGACATGGGATGTGGTAGCATTGGAGAGAGAGGAGCAGCTCCTTGCAGAGAGCGCGCGCGGCCACCGGTCCGAGAGAGGGAGAGGAAGGGCCAGGCCTGAATCCTAGCAAACCACGGATTCAGAGCAATGGATGCTGTCTGTTAGGCCGAGGGCCTGCTGGATCGGGATTTAAGGGGATGCCGCTGCCTGTGGATAATTGGGTTAAAATCTGAAGTTGCCCTGCTCCTCGGGAAGTGAGAAGCAAAAAGGTAATGTTTCTTTGTTTTCCAGTAGTGATTGCAGTGAGGCGGCGGATCATGCAGTAGTTGTCTTTTCATTGTAGAATGCTGGACTAGTTTAAAAAAAAAAAGCATAAAATACCGTATCTCCTGAGGTCTCAAACATTTTGTTTCTCAGCATGTGATAGATTTTTAAAATGCTAACTCCACGTGAGAAATATACTGTTCTCCCTCCTGCCACCCCCTCCCACCTTCCCGGCGTTAGTAAGGCTCATGCAAAATCTGAATTTCACACACAAAATAGCTGCAGGCTGAATTGTGTAGGGTGCTTTTTTTTTTAAAGTCTTCTGTGGAAGTGTCAGAAGAGTGAACAAGAGTCTTATCATCCTTAGTGGGTGAGAGGGGGGCAGGGTGGAGACAACTGCAGCCGAGCAGGCTGCCAGCCGGCTTCCTATGACTGCTAAGGACGGACTGTTCTTTTTACATTTCAAATGGCTGCTGCAAGTTTAATGCAGAGAAGGGGTACTGCAAAGACGGGGGAGAAGGAAGGAAAGAGGTTAGAGAGAAGAAAAGAAAAGAAAAAAGGCTGGAAACCACCTTTATTTTGTTTTCATCCAGGCAAAATGATTCTTTCGTGGGCAGCCCACACCCAAAAAGTTCCTACATATTAAATTTAGAAAAGGCTGCTTAGTCATCTACTTATAAAGCTGTGGTGTGCAGTCTGTGTGTATACAGAAACTCATTTCCTTTCTTCATTACCTTGTTAGTGGAGCAACTGCCTAGTAGATTCAAGCATCTTTTGCAAAATTTCCAAGGGAAGGCTGTTCTAAGAATAGATCTGGCAGTCACTTGCTACTATACATACCGGCTCTGAATGATAGAGCCATGCTGCCTCTCAAGCAAACCAGTATTGAAAGAAATTTGATCTAGTGCCTTTAAAAGACTCTCCTGACCCCACTATGAATGGATGAGGCTTTTTCATTTTTTATTAATGGAGCATTCAGAGAGAACGCTGCTATTGTTTCTAGCTTATTTAGGTTTGTAGCTTCCCAGGTTTTAAACAGAGATCCACAGAAGATTGGACCATGCCCATTTGTAAGTCTTACACTCTCAATGGTGATGACCTGGTGGTTCATTTTGGGAATAAATGGCTTTTGCTGTGTTGTCTCATAGTGGGTGGTAGAGGGGTTGAATGAGAAGGGAACTCTTAAGTGCAAGCCGGTTTCCCTTACTCACTCTCTAGTATTGCTAATTCTCTTGTCTTGCAAAACTGACCTGGTTGTGAGGGAAAGCTTCCGGCTGGGTGACTGCTGGACAGATTGCTAACTTAACATGCTGAAATCGTCATAATCCTGGAAAGAGGTGGCATGGATTGAGATTCTGTAATCTATCCATTGTAGTTAATAAGCACCACTTAGGTTAGGTCATTTAGAAAGCGTATAACAAGATGTCAACAAATAAAAATAAAAATGCATTTTGTTGTCTATACCTTGTACTTTTTAGAATTACCTCAAATTCATTCATAAAAAAATGTGTTTTGGCTCACTGTACATTTGTGTGTAATTCATGCTGGGCCAGGAGATAAAAAACTGAAAGCAGAAGGGCTCTGATGATGATTCCCAAAGTGTCAGTCATCTCTTGCAGACTGTAATGTGGAGAGGAGGGCCACTTGTGGTGCATTAACTGCTGTTGGCAAATAGAATCATTTTGCTGAGGACGTAGTTTCAGTTCGTTTAAGTACTCAGCATGAATGAGGGTGCTGTGACAAATAGATTTGAAACTATTAGGTCCTGGGTGGTTAAATAGCTACTGTTAATTTAATTGGAGTCAATATTTGGAGACTCATGGAAATCAAAACCATACTGGCCAACCAATGAAGAAAGCATTGGCTGCAGATTAGCTTGGAAAGCAAGGCCTAAATTGCAAACTAAAATGTATAGGAAAATTAACCCTTAAAAATGTAACTTATGCCTTTGATGGCAGCAGGTTCAGTGTGAATGAGTACCAGAAAATCCAATTATCCCATTCTCTTTTGTATGATAAATAATAAATTACTTGTTGTTACTATTGCTATATTCTTCTAGAAATTCAGCATAAAATTATTTTATCAATGATACCAGCTATTGATACGGCACCTTGATTTATGCATCTATTAATTTTAGAATTTATTTCATTTTGCCCTGATGGTAAGACAAGTAGCAAGTAAGGCAGAGAAACTGAGGCACTATGAGCTTAAGTAGTTTGCTTATTGTATAGTCTATAAGAATGTCATTCTGATATGAATGCTGTTTGTTCAATTATGTGACTGTATCTTTAAATAAAAGGAAAGGTACCACATGCAGGTGGGGGGAGAGGGGGAAACAAGGAATTAGACCTTTTCTAGGGGTCCTGAAACTGAGATGAAAGATCATTGAATCAGAAGTCCATGGGCTGTGAAGGAAATGGTAAATGGGAAAGTGGGAGTAATTGGTATGTGACTGGTATGTGAAAGGGGGAAGGGAACAGTGATCATGTAAGGAAGTTTATGAAATGTCAGGTTGGGGGAGTGTACCAGAGTATCTAAGTTTTTTAGGAGTATGAAATAAGGGTATAGTACTTTTGGAGAAGGCTATTACTATAAACTAGTGCTCTCATTTACCTTTTCTATAAGGGTGAAAACATACATTTCTGTTAATAAATATCTTATGCCAAATCCCTCACATAAATTCTAAGGTAAGGATTTAGCTTGATATCAGGAATGACTGACTTGGAAATATCTCCGGTCATTTTCAAAATTGAAGGCTTTATTTTCTAAAGCCTTCTTTATTTTCTAAAATACATTTACTTCTTAAAATGGAAAGTAAGTGTAGCTTTTCTATAATGACTAGCTTAACATCCCAGGATAAGAGCAGGTGTTTGTAAATTCAAAATTCAGGAAAACATTTCAAACAGTTGCTTTAAGGAGCATGCTACTCCTTGAGTCACAAATAACCCTGAGTGTGCTTTTAAAAAAATGTTTGGACAGTGATATATAGCTATAGTTATATTGATATGTATGTGTGTGTGTATTTTTTTCCAATTGTTTTTCAGTCCTGTCCAACTCTTCATGACCCATTTAGGGTTTTCTTGGCAAAGATACTGGAGTGGTTTGTCATTTCCTTCTCTAGCTTATTTTACAGATGAGGAAACTGAGGCAAATAGGGTTAAGTGACTTCTCTAGGGTCACACAGCTAGTAAGTATCTGAGGCCAGATTAGAACTCAGGAAGAGGAATCTTCCTGACTCCAGGCCCAGCACCACCTAGCTGTCCTTTACACACACACACACACACACACACACACACACACACACACACAACATATATGTGTGTGTATATGTGTATATATATATATATATATACATATATATATATTGTATATATGCTTGTATACATACATTTTTTAGGGTAGCTAAAAGGTATAGTAGATAGAGTCAGTTTAAATCTAGCCTCAAACTCTTAGTAGCTGTGTGACCCTGGGCAAGTCCTTTAACCTCTGTTTGCCTCAGTTTCTTAAACTGTAAAATGGAGATAATAATACCATTTACTTCTAGGGTGTCTGAGATTGGATTCTCAAGTCTTCCTGATTCCAAGTCCAATACCCTATCCATTGAATCTCCTAGGAGCCGGGAAGAGACCTTAAAAATCATGTAGGTTCAATGCCTTTATTTTACAGGTGAGAAATGTCACAAGGCTGGTTAATGTCAGAAGTAGAACTAGAATCCAGCTTTCCTGGTTTCCATCCTACTAATATCTTTGCTGTCATCTAGTTGTGTGTTCTCTGCTGGCAGTCTCATTTCCCCAAAAAAAAAATCTTTAGCATATTTGCTAAAGGTTGAAGGAACTTGGGAGATTTAGCCTGTGGGAGAAAAAATCATGTGATATATGATTGTTGTCTTCAAATAATTAAAAGGATGTCATATGGAAAAGGGATTAGGTAGGTTTTATCAGCTTGGGCCCAATGGAACAAATAGGTGGAAATTGCAGGGAAGAAGGCGTTGGCTCAAAATGAGGAAGAGCTCAGCTATAAGGACTGTTCAAATATAGAACTGGCTCAAAAGTTCCTGAGTTCCCCATCACCAAAGACTTTCAAGCAGAAATTGAAGCACCATTTCTCAGATATGATTCACGCTTTGAGTGGGGATAGCCTTTGGGATCCTTTCCAGTTTTGCAGATCTGAAATTTTATGACCCTATTTTCACACAACAATGGAAATATGACTGCTATTATTAAACATAATTTATTATTTGTGTTTTGTATGGATGTGTTACTTTTGCTGGTATCAGCAGTACGTTATTTGTTCCCAAAAGAGAAAGCACTAATTCTTTTTAAACACATCTTTCAATTGCCAAGCTCTTATTTCCTCTACACCCTCCTTCCAAATAAGAATTGGAAGCGAAGAGACTACCCATCAATTGGGGAATGGCTGAACAAATTATCTTATGTGAATGTAATGGAAGACTATTGTAAGAAAAGAAGAGACAGTTTCAGAGACACCTGGGAAGATTTGTATGAACTGATGAAGAGTGAAAGGAAAAGCAAGAGAAAAATTTAAACAGTAACAATCACATTGTAAAAACAGCTTTGAGAGGCTTAACTCTAATCAAGGAAATCACAAACTATGAAATCAGTGTCTCTTTATAGATGTTAAGTCTTGTAATAGAGGTGATGATGGAAATAAAGGAGATTTGACTGGGGCCCTGGTCAGCTCACTGACTTTTTATTACCACCAAGTAATTATGAAAAGGGCAGCTGGATGTTGCAGTAGATAGAATGCCAGGCCTAGAGTCAGGCAGACTCATCTCCCTGAGTTCAAATCTGTCCTTAGACACTGACTAGTTGTGTGACCCTGGGCAACTCACTTAACCCTGCTTGCTTCAGTGTCCTCATCTGTAAAATGAGCTAGAGAAGGAAATGGCAAATCAATCTTTGCCAAGAGAATCCCAAATGGAGTCCTGAAGAGTTGGATGTGACTGAAAATGACTCAACAACAACAATTATTTAAAAAAAAAAAA